TACCATGTACTGAGTATTTACTTTATGCAACGTGTATGTAATAGGGACCTTCCATGAATTATCTGCACACGGCAGTGACCCAGCAACTGAGGATCCATGTGCCATTGCATGTGCCATAAGTCATTTTATGGCCAAGTCTTTTCATCTCTGAGATCTCCCTGTCTGTTTTCGGTGAGAGCAGGGATCTCGGGCCCTTTCAGCACTAGACAGCAAACCGACAACTTAGCAAATTCTAATTTCATTCCAACAGGCAAATTCCCCAAGGAAGGAGAACAGCAAATGAATAAACCCTTCAGACAGAAAAGGGCCAAGCATCCAAGAGATGCAGGATGGCGTTTCTGGAAATGTTCCACTTCAGGTTTAAAAGAAAACTTTTGAAATGATTAATAAGTTATTTAGAACCTCAATATTCCAAAGTTGGAGAAGCTAACACACTGAGAAATTTAATTTAGATTCCCTTAACACACTCACTCATGATAAGAGAGCATTCAGTATATCAGTATATAAATGCTATGCAACATGACTGCCAAATTGCAACACAGAATGGGAGAAATTTGTCATTTTGAAATGCTAAGGGAATTCTTACTAACAGCTTTCTCATCTTGTAAAGCTATTATTTTTCTGAACGATAATATGATTTATAAATCTCAGCTGAGTTTTATACTTTTGATGTGAACAGACTCAAAGTGAAATGTGTTTTCTCAGAATATAAAATTCTCTCAGGAGTTAACCAAATGGGGAATAAAAACAACATCTTCTGCAACCAAGCGTATCAAAACCTAGGTCTCTGCTGGCATATCTGTAGGTGAATGTTGGTCTTCCTCAGGGTTCTGGGCTCAGCCTGACTTCTCACTCTGCACACTTTCTCTGGGTGACATCAGCCACTCCAAAAGCTTCAACTCACTTCTGCCTCAGTGATGCCCATATCCACTCCCCACCCTTCACATCTCTTCTGAGTTACAGGTCCCTGTGTCTAACTACCCATGAGACAGATCACCATCATATCCTACACCTCAAATTCTCTCCTTTTCCCCAAACCCTGATTCTTCTCCTTGAATCCCAGTACTGCAGTGATGCTACTGTTTATAGAAATAAGTAAGAAAGAGTTCCTGCTCTCAAGAAGCTTATAATCTAGCACAGGAGAGAGAAAAGTAAATAGGCAATTACAATATAGGTTAGCCAGTGCTGTGGTAGGAGAAACCCAAGAGGCTGTGGCTGTGCTCTCATAGGAAGAGCACCTGGTCAAGGAATCAACCTGAAGAAAGTACAGTAATGCCTTGGTGTGCGAGCATAATTCATTCCAGAACCAAACTACTCGTATTGCAAGACATCGTTCATTTACCACATTAAAATGTATTAGAAATGTTTGCTCGTCTTGTGGAACACTCGCAAACCATGTTACTCACAATCCAAGGTTTTACTGTAGCTTCTTAGTTCAGTGTGAGTTAGGTGACTGAGGTGTGTAAGTGAGTGAGTGAGTGAGTGACTGAGGTGTTGAGGAGTCACAAGGAAGGACAGAAGGACTCCCATGGACAGAGGCCCAGGGGCATGAGACCATGAAGACAGACATAGGATATGGCTTTAGACAGGGTACTAAGGAAGGATTGAATAGAGATGAGGACAGAGCACCAGGGCCAGATCAGAACAACCTTTATATTCCACATTTGATCTGCACAGAGTTTGAAATCCAAATGTCATGGGGAGCCACAGGTGATCGTAATCCATGCTCCAAGGAGACCCACCAAAATCTCAGCTCTCCACAGTGTGTCTCATGAATTGCTACTAGAGATCCAAGGAAAATCAGTTTGGGGTTACATTTCATAATGATGCTTAATCACAGGGCAATTGTATTTTTTGTATGTGATCATCTTTAACCCTTACAACCACTATGAGCATAAAACAGACCATGGACTTTGGAGGTAGGACTTTGGAGGTACAAAGGAGGAACTTCAAAACCTTAGGCATGTTACCTTATTACCTTCTCTGCATCTCAGTCATTTCAGGAGGAGGGTAAGGGTGAAAATAGCCACAAACCTTCATCTTAATCTCTCTGAAAACAGGAACATTTTAAGTTTGCCAAACTTGACCTAAACTGACATGGAGGTATTTATAGTTTTGATTTACTCTCTTAGTATAAATATTCTTACATTTTGCTGTAGAATATTTATGTGTTTGATTGTAGGGATGTTAAGTGATCTATCTTAACTTTCTAATATTTGAAAAAAACTCAGACGTAAAAAACACATCTAGCCCAATGGTTTGGGATGAGGAATTTGAGGACCTATAATATATACAAAGCCTAAGATATATAAGATAATGTACCTAAAGGGTCTCTATAGCACAGGAACCAGCAGGCACAGTGTAAGGTCTCAGAGATTACAACTATTATCAGAATGAGGGAGTGAGCCACTTTAGACATCATAAAACAAGGAATGAAGGAAACTGAAACATCTTATAGGAAATACATGTTTTCCATGTCTGGCCTCTCAAATTTTTACAATCATATTTTTGGAAAATATGGGGATGATTTAATTTTTCTAAGGGTGATCATGCTTTTAAATCATGGGCTTCGCCATTGTTCTCATATTCACAGCAGGCGGGAGAAAATTGAAAATACTTATTATAGGTAATAGCAAAGGCAAGTTTTACGAGATTCTGGGAAAGGAGGTAAAACAGGCAAGTCCCTGCTAGAGTGGGAGAGGTGTTCGGTCAAGGGGCATAAACTCCTCAAAGTCTAGGACCCAAGGAGCAAGGGAAAAAAATGGCAACAAATGAAGCCAGAGGGGTGTTTGGGGAAAATTTTATGAAAAGCCTTGAATACTATGGTAAGTTTGTATTTTATCCTTTACATCAGGGATTTTTAAACTATTTTGTCAAAAGAATTTTATTGAAACAAAATTTGATTTGTGTATGAACTCTGTACACTGCAACTACACACCAACCTGTTTTTACTCTATGGCCCAAATGCTTTTTTAAAAGAGAAGATTTGATTGTCTTACTCCCCAGGACACACTCTTCAAAGCTATCCCATCAAGCCTGGAGTAAAATGCCATCTCCCCGAGGGCAGCAGGTGATGCGGTGCTGCCTACTCTCCTGCTCGTGTCACACCACCTCCCTGACTTACCATTTGCAGGTTCTCCAGTGAGCCCTGCCCCCCCCCCTCAAGCATTTCACAAAGGCTGACCTCTCCTGCTTCTCCCTCCCGGTTGCCTAGTTAGCTTCTTGTCTTTCAAATCTAGGCTTAGCCATCTTTTCTGGGGAAAGCCTTTCCTAACTTGTTCAGGGCCCCCTGTGTTATATTCTCCCACACTCTGTGGCCTTCTCCATTCAGCATTTAATAGTTGTGTTAAAGGATTACATGAGAATTTGGTTGTTCGATGCTCCCCACTTCCATATTGTAAACTTTGAGAATGGGAAGTGACCCCATCTGTCTTGTTCATGACCGTGTCCATGGCCACTAAGTAGGCCTCCAACAACGATCTGTTGAAAATAATACTAGTAAATTCAACAGGAAGACAGATGGCGAAAGAGGCTCTTTGGTTGAAATGAGAATGGAGCCTTTGGTTGCAGCAGGAATGTAGGCCTGGAATGCTTCCTACTAGGCCTTCTCCTTGCCCTCCACGGGGGTCCCTGAGGCCCTTCTTGGTGGGAAACACTCTGAAAAGCACTGTGGTAGATGATATGAGACTCTGGCTAACAAGAGGCTATGTTATCTGGCTTTGGGGTGAGGGTAAGTGTTCTCAAGAGTGTTCTTTTGGCCTGAGGAAACTTTCTGCTTGATGGTCAACAAAATGGATAAATGATCAAAGTAGCTTTGTGTAGACAGGAAGCATATTTCATTAATTTATTTCAACATCTCATCTCTCTTGGGTGGGGAAAGACTATAAAAGACATATGTAAGCTGGTCTGAATTTTATTCTTTTGTGCAAGACAGGGTGTAGAATAGATGTTTCTTTGGAAAGTCATCTTGGCCTAGGCCCAGACCATCGAGAAAACTGCCTCTGTACTCTTCAGAGCCATGCACACTTGGCCCCATTCCTGGGTGTGAGATCATGTGACACCAGGCAAATTATGTAACTCTATCACTCATTCAGTATAGTCAGCTGTGATGGAGTCAAGGGCTCCCTTGATCTGTTAAATAGGGTAAATCAAAGTAAAATTACCTTTTGATTGAGTAGCATTGCTGAAGAAATTCCATAAAAAAGGCTGGTGATCCATTGGCACTGTCTCAGTGTTAAGTGTTGTAGACTTTGAAATTACCGGAACACTGGGTTTCAGGGTTTGACTTCTGCAAGGCCATCTAAAAATAAACAGCAAGATGGGTTAAAGCAGAAGTAGCCTGCCTGTGCAATCCTAGTTAAAGAGAAAAATATGTGCTGGCCAGAAGTAAGTCATTTTTCAACCTCAAAATATTCTTTCCAAATGTTAAGATCCTGTGTTTGACATGTTTAAGAGAGAGATATAACAGCTGAAGTTGTCTTTGGTCAGGACGTAGGAGACAGTTTTGTCTAGACTTTCAGGAAAGATATAGAATGACATTTTCAGAACAAATCAAAATATATTTTAAAATTCTTTTCCCCCCTTCAGAAAGAGGATTTGACATGCTTCTCTCATTTGAATTTGGTTGATCTATAAATGGCCTCGATAGCTTGATACAAAACTAGAGTAAAATGAACCATTGAGAAAAGTAATTGAAAATACTGTTAGTTTACTTTCTTAATAATGGTAGCGCCACCACCACCAACACAATCGCTAATATATTTAGTAAGTGGTTCCTAGGTATGCGCTAAGCTCCCAACATACCTTTCCTTATTTAGTTTTCACAGCAATCCCATAAGGTAGATATTATGAAGCATGCCAATTTTCCAATGAAGAAACTGAGGCACAGAGAGTTGGGGTGACTGACCCAAAGCCACACAACCATGGGTGGCCAAACAAGGACCTGACATCCCCCCAAATCTGCCTTCCTCATCACTACACTCGATCTTCTTTCCCTACAGGGCCAGCATCGTACAGAAACGCATCATTTATTTTCAAGATGAGGGCTCTCTGACCAAGAAGCTTTGTGAACAAGGTAAGAGTATGTGGGTAGGGGAGGGCCAGATAAATGAACAGTAGCTCATTCCGTCCAAACACCTGGCCTCAGGAATTAAAATGATTGGGCTTTCTGAGCTCCTCCGGGTTCTGCTTCCTCACGTAGCTCCAATTTTTAATCTGGCTGTGTGCTGTGGATAATTGGATCCGCCTTAAGCTCTAATTACCCAGCTTGATTCCCTGGATACGAGATAATGTACCTTATATTGGTGTCGTCTTTTTATTTTTGTGAAACAGTGATTATTCTGAAGAAGTTCTTCGGAATAATTCATAGGACTTAATTAAGCAATGCACAGTTGTGTACCTTTAAAAAGTCTGTCATGGTTTTCCAGAATAATCACCAGCAGGAGTTGTGTGGCACTCAGGCAATATGGGGGGATTTTTCTCCAGGGAAGACCACAGGGAGATGGGGTTGACAAGAGGGCATTGACCTTGTGATTTCACCACAGTCAACGACCTGCTCCCTAGATTTGCAAGCCCATCATCACTCTCTCCATGGGTTGAAGAAGGCATTCTAACAAAGCTCACAGAAACCTAGGAGACTGGGGAGGTCAGTGTAAAGGCCAGGATTCAAATCCTGCCTCTGGCCTTCATAGCCATGTGACAATGTATGTGCAATAGTAACGCACCTCCTCGGCACACAGTAAATGCTATATATAAGTGATAGCTATTGTTAACCAAAAGCGTGTTTATTTATCTGCCATAAAAAATTAAGACCTTAAACATCTGAATGTGTTTAGAAGTATTAAAGAACTAAGTAAAAATAGAAAATGTTCTATAATTATACATCTTAACCATCTCATTTCTATTCATTTCTGAACAATTTTATTTGCATTTAGAGCAATTAGCATTTAGAGAAAAACTAATCCTCTCCAATTCTAGCAAATCATAAATTACTAAGAAAAAGAAAGGTTGATAAAGGTCTTATGGGGAAATTATAATAATAGCTAATATTTTGGGGTGCTTGCTACAGGCCAGGCACTATTCTAAGCAATTCACATACCTTGATCATGTAATCTGCACAACCGTATATGGTAAAAACTATTACATCCATCCCTATTTTATTGATGAGTGCCTGAGGCACAAAAAGTTTCAATGGCTTGCTCAACATCATACAGATAGTGGTAGAAGGCAGGGTCTGAATCTAAGAGCCAATGCCCATAATCACTTCCTTTCTATCAAAGGGACTACCTCCCAATTCAGTAGCTTGCGCCGTTACCTTTGGTAGATCAAAGCATACTAAAGCATAGGTCTCCCTACAGACGAGCTAGTGCAGAGCTAGGTCCTATGTGGAGGATTGCACGGTGACTATGGAAAGAGCAAAAGGGAAGAGAGTCGGATACACTGGACTAGGGCCATACCTGCCAAAAGAGCCAGTGAGCTGGAACCTGGGGTCCGGGGCCCTGATCAGCTTCCAGGTAGGTGTCACCCCATGTGACTTCAGGGCTTTCTTTTCCTGTAGTTAATTGTCCACAAGTTCACTCAGACTTTCTCCAAACGGGGAACATCTCAACTGTTGAAAGTCTTGGTCCCTAAAGAGCAATCCCATTCCTGCCCTGCCCATATGAGATAACGCCAAGGTCCTGTGGGTTAGCGTTGTGGGTGTTCTGGATTACACATGTACAGGCCACCTTTTGGTCTACACCCGCAGTTGGTTAATCACAAGCACTAGGGTATGGTTTTGTTAGTTTGACTATCAGAGGACAGCTTTATTTTCCAGATCTGAAGGTTCTTGGGAGACCCTTCCCTGACATGCCCATGTATTGACAGCAATCATTAACTAAAGTACACTTCCCAAAGCCTCAATTCTGATGTGTGAAAGCCTTGTCTAAGTTATGAACATGCTAAAATTCTGCAGGTACAGTGCCAGTGAAATGGCATTGCAATCTCTATTGGTGATCACTTCTGAAGCAGAGGTCCTATCAAAATGACTAAGTGTGCATCTGTGTAAAAAGACCACTTCCTAATGACAACCTTGGGGACAGAAAAAAAAGCCCAGCAGGACCTGGGCTGTAGGATTATTAGGTACAGTCGTAGATGATCCTCTAACAGCAGACCCACAAGGAAATTGATCAATTAGCAATCAGATCACATTAAGAAAGTCTTTAATTTATAAGCATAGAGCAAAGGGACTTTTCTTAAATGTGTATGCCTACTTAATTGTATCTAGCTCTTTCATTAAGGTCTTTACTTCCTTGCTTTAATTCTTTGCTTCCTTAGTGAGTCAAATCAAATCCATCAAGGAACGGGAGAGAGAAACAAGTATGTGCTATTTTCCCCCAGTTGAAGCTGTTAATCCATAGGGGGAAAATTAAGATCTGCACTGATAAAAAGCAATGGCAATCATTATTTTTAAAAAGAAACGTAAAACATTAAGTTACAATTAGGAGCAGAGAAACATAAAATATTTAAAAAGGTGACCTATAGTGAACATAATGCATCCTCATGCTCGCTTTAATGCCATGTCACAAACAATTAGGGAGAGAGACAAGGAGAGGGAACGAGGAAGGGCAAAGCCAAGAAGAGAGGAAAATGTGGCAGAAAGGGGAGCATGAGAAAAAGAAGAAAAAGGGAAGAGGAATGAAAAATAAAGGATGAGAGCTACAAAGGAAGCTGATGGGTTGAGAGTAGAAATGGGGAGAAGTGGGCAACTCAGGAGGTGTTGCCCAGCCTGAGGGCCGGATGTCACCTGTGTTTGGCAGGCCCTCCTGGGGTTAGAAGAAAAAGGGGTAAGTTAACACTTGTTATCACTGCCCTATGAAAACCTAGTTCATTTTCAATGGGCATTTTCTCAGCAGGAAACCGTATGTCTTTTTTTTAGCTTCATACTTAGAAATTGATTTTTTAAATGGAGGCTTATTTTCTTTTCAAGTCCAAATGGTTTCTTATACGTGTATTGCCTTGAACTCCTCGATATATCTTTAGTTTACTATCTATACCTAAAAGCCCTTTTGATAAGGTAAAGCCACCAATTCGCCTTATTTTGGTTCCTTGAGAGATTACGGCTGCCTCATTTGACAATGCCTGGTCGTTACCATTGCAAGCCCAGCATGTATCTCTTAGCTATGAATCCCTTTTTCAAAACTAATTTAGTTTTTTTACAACATAGTTGGTCATAATGGAAATGTAAAAAGAAAACAGATCTTCAGGAGTCATTGATTTCCACTCCCTTCCCAGAAATATATTCAACAGGGCTCATCCCTTCACTATCAGAGTGGCTCACACAGGAATCAGACCTGAGTTTCACACACGGAAGGCAGTGGGGAGCCTGCTGCAAACACAGACAGTGCTCTGGCTGCCGCTTCCAAGTGGACAAAACAGTAGCCACACAATGATTTCCATTTTGGGTGTTTTCAGACCTCTTCCTCAGGCCTGTTTAGAAATCCTGGAGCTGTGTAGGGAGGTAATGTTTTAAATGCACCATTCTTCCTTTGAACAAGCAAAAAGAGAAACACGCACACAAAAATTGTCTCATTGGTGTTTATGCAGACCTATCCAGCAAAAGTCTTTCCTGGAGTGATATAGGATGGAGATTTAAGAGCATGGACTCTAGACTCAAAAAGACCTGAGCTTCTGTTCTGCCTGCCTCGCTCACTAACGCTGTGACCTTGGGCTGGTCACCTAACCTGCCTCTGTTTACTGATCTGTAAAATGAGGTAACTGAAGTACTTACTTCCAAGGGTTGCTAGGACAATCCTAGCAATATATGCAAAGAGATCAGCACATACAAGGACTCTGTATGATGTAGTCGTTATTACAATATCCCATCCTTTTTTCTCCATCCTAAAGCCCAGAATTCACTTCATTTATCACTGATTTTGCATATTCAAACTAAATGAACCCAGTGTATTCCATATGAAAGACTTGTAAAGTGTTCTTCCTTACACCCAGAAGATTTTTATACTCCTTGTCACTGTTCTTTATATAATGTTTAAGAATAAATGTTCAATTTGAGAAAAAAAAAAAAGAAAGAACATTTGTTAATACTGCTAGAAGAACTGAAGATAAAGCAATTGAAGCAAGTTGCATCCTTAGTCATTGTTTTCGTCTTGCAGGAAGCAGAACAGACTACAGGCAACAATGCACAGTTAGGGATGCGGGCTTGACAATCGGAAATACTCAATTTATTCATGTAATCTCTCTTTCTCCACTTATCAGCTATTCACAGCTAAAAATGGGGGAATCTTAAGTATTTCCTGGCTGTTTCTATGCTCAGAAGTAAACCTGAACTTATGAACATAGTCCTAGATCTCTACCCCTCCCAGTTAAGTCTCTGAAAGGCTGATAAGAAGTGATGTGACTATATAGGTATATCTTTTTTTAAAAAAAATAACTTTCAGGGATGGCCAAGTGGCTCAGTTGGTTAAGAGCTCACTCAAGAGTGCGCACTCTGAGCAACAGGGTTGCCAGTTCGATTCCCAGCCCGAGCTGAGCTGCCCCTGAGCTGCCAACAGGTGGCAGAATGGCTCAGCTAAAAAATAATAATAATAATAATAATTTTCAGCAGTCCTTTATTGCTTTCTATGTCTTCTTGTTCTCATTTCTCTCCTTCAAAGTTTCCCCTTCTAGTCCTGGCAATTTGGGCCCAGGGGATATTTCTTAGAGGAAACACACACAAGTATATTACTCTTAAAGTTTGGTGGAGAAATTGTGTTGTGGGCGGGGTGGGGAAAGAAACTCAGGCCCAGAATGGGTAACTGAGTAAATTTTATCCCTAGTATCCCAAGAAAGCCTCCATTTCAAATATTCTTCCTTATCAGTCCCACAGGTCTCCTCACCATATTAGAGCAAAGTTCTGATATTGATTGATGGATTGATTGATTGATTGATTGTAGGATATATTTACCATGCTTAGAGGTATACAAAATCCTTGCTAGCCTAAGTACTGACCTGGTTCTGGGTGTTATTAATCAATGAAAACTTCACTTCATCTCCTTTTCCCAAGCATGACGGACAGGATGAAACCAAGACCCACATCTGCGTCCTAACTTGGTGCCTTCCCTGACTTTCAGATTCCACATTTGATGGGGTGACTGACAAACCGATCTTAGACTGCTGTGCCTGTGGAACTGCCAAGTACAGACTCACATTTTATGGGAACTGGTCTGAGAAGACGCACCCAAAGGATTATCCTCGTGAGTAGAATAGCTACTTTATGGGTTGGGAGAAGTGCGTTGTAAAGCTCTGTCTGGTTGTGGAATACACTAGCTGAAGTAAGTTAGGTCAGCTTGCTCTTGCCAAATGATTCATGAAATGCACATTCCCAGGAAGTGAATTCATCAAGATATACTAGTGGTATGCTTCCAGCTTCTTTGCATAGCATTGTTCTAAGTATTTTCTTATCTGTCATTTATAAAAATATTCCTGAGGTCATGCTGCTTATCTTCAGGTCCAACATTTGGTAACCTCAGTCCTCCTCAAGTGGCTCTATCCAATGGATGTCCTTGTGCTAGAAATAGCTGGCAAAGGGAACTGCTCTTGACGCCACAGACCAAGGTCAACAAATATTCAACATGCTCAACCACAGCAGACACTGGTAACCATCAGCACACCCTTCCCCCACTGATTCCAGATACCATGCTCCAGATGGCCAATCCATGAGCGCTGTCAGGAGACCCCAGACTTGCTATTTTGGAGTGGATTCTTAATGGGGACTCTGCCGACTCCCTTTTGTCATACAGTTGTCTCAACAAATGCGTAGCATATGCCAGGCACTGTGCTAAACTCCAGAGATAATGAACAAAAAAAGACACAACCCAAGTTCTCACACAGCTCAGAGATTAGTGTGGAGAGAGACGCTAATAAAATAATCACACAAAAAGGTGTGGAGTTGATAACGATGAATAGTGCAATTACTGTGCACCAAGCGTTTTTACACATTATGTTATTTAATCCTTATAATAACCTATGTTTGTGGATGAGCTCAGTGGAGATCAGAGAACTGTCGTGATTTGCCCACAGTCAAATGTAAGGAGTGGATCCAAGATTCCCAAGGGGGTTTTCAGGCCCCTGGCCCTGCCTTTCGTTCGGGTTGCCTTTCAGACCCAGTGTTACCCATTGCCGCTAACTGTGGGTGGCAGGATTTCTGTGTGTGGCACTGAGCATGCTTTTTCTGTACGTGGTTTTTTTCTTCTTCATTTCACTGTGGAATAGCCACAGCTGGGAAAGAACTGTGGAGCTGGGAGAAAAAGATTAAAAAGAGGGAATTGAGTCAGCCCCAAAAGGACGGGGAAACAAAGAAAGGGTACGTGGTTGGGACTTAAGAAGACCCTGTCCAGAAGAGAAGTCCTGCGGTCCCCAAACGGCCCCCACAAAGGGGACTCTGACATTTCTTGGCAGATCAAGAGCCCTGTTGTTTAATTTTACCCGCATGTAATTAAGGCTTGAGCTCTTAGAAGCCTCTTACTAGCTCATTCTTCTGGCTCTGGGATTCGGCTTGATCTGCGTCAGCTGGTGTGGGAGACCTGAATGAACAAACTTAGACTATCTGCCTGGGAGGGAAACCACTTGGAACAAGTATGACGGAAAACATTTCCTCCAGTAACTGCCTCCCATCCACTAACCCCGAGGAAATAAAATGTAAGGGGCCCATTACTCATCTTTTGTAATCCTGAGGAGTGTCTTGATCTTTTCTATTCTGACACTGTTATTTCCCAGAATTAAAAAACTTAAAAATTAAAAAAGTAAAATAAAAAGAAGGTACAGACCATTATTTCTGGGTCTTTGGGCCAAATCAAGGACAAATCTATACAAAATTCCTGTGCTGTTGTTGGGGGTTTCTTAATAAATACAGCAGACATGTGTCCCAGATGCCCCAGAATGGTTCCATTGTCAGATGTCAGAGTGTGTCTTAATATTTGGTTGGAAAAATTTGGTCACTATGTACCAAGAGCATTTATTGTACCGTACTGTAATTATTTCTTCAGTAGTCTTTTTTCCCCATTAGACAAAGCAGTTCTCCAGGACAAAAGCCATGACATGCTCATTTTTTAATGCTTAGTGCCCAGAGATCCCTGGTGCCTTCCAAGTACTGGGTACTGATTGTTGAACTCTGAGTGGCATTTGCTGCGGCCTGGGAGGCAGATTTCCGGCGCACGTCTCGTCATCATGACCAACACTGAGCAGGACATGTGGATCAGATCGTTCTTGGAGGGAAAAGCGTGGGGTTGCACATGGAGGAGACCGGAGCCAGTTGGAAGGGCCAGAGAGGGTCTAATCAGGGCTGTAAAGATGTGATCTCTTCAAAAGTGATTTCTACCAATCTTAGGGAATAGATGACTCTCTTTTGCCTCTCCAGGGATGATTGTGTCTTGAAAACCAACTTTTACCATTGAGCTCAATTAAGCCATGACGCTTCCTGAGAATAGTGCAAAATGATAAACATGGAGTCCCCGTCTCCTCATCACTCACTAATCCAAAACACCGCTTCTCTGCAAGGATCTCGGAGAAGCAGTTCTAAAGCTTTTTCATTTCAAGGCCCCTTGTACATCCTTAAAAATTATTTCAAGGCCCCAACATGCTTTTGTTTATGTGGATTGTATCTCTTAATATTCACCATATCAAAAATTAAAACAGAAATTTTAAAATATTACTTATTAATTTTAAAAAGTAACATACAATGAATTAGTGATAATAAACATCACATGTTAACGTAACATATTTTATGAAAATGACTGTATTGTCCAAAACAAAAGAAATGTAGTGAAAAGGACATCATTGTTTTACATTTTTACAAATCTCTTTAATATCTGGCTTAATAGAAAACACCTAGATTCTCATATTTGCCCCTGCGTTCACCTGCTGTGGTTTATTTTTTTGGTTAGAGTATGTGAAGGGAATTCTATGTCACACAGATATATAATTGGAAAAGGGAAGAATATTTTAATAAACTTTCAGACAATTACAGATAATCATCTTTGATAGTACACCCAAACTCTACAAATGGTACAGTAGTCTCTCCTTATATGAGAAGGATACATTCCAAGACCCCAGGGGATGCCTGAAACTGCCGATAGTACTGAACCCTACGTATGTACCCATGATAAAATTTAATGCCTTTCCATTTTAACTAAGCACTTATCATTTACTGTGGACATAGCTTTTGTAGTTTGAAATGGGACAGCAAAACTAGCATGAATTTCTTTTTTCTTCACAATTTTACCAAGAGAAGATTCGTTCGTACAATAGATCTTGGCAACCTCAGCATATGATTTTTTACTCTTTCTTTATTGAGAACTTTCACCTTTTCACTTAAAGGAAGCACTTTACGCCTTCACTTTGGCACATCCAACTTGCCAGCATCACTACTCTTGCACTTTGGGGCCCTTACTAAGTAGAATAAGGGTGACGTGAACACAAGCACTGTGATACTGCGACAGTTGATCTGATGCCCAAGATGGCTACTAAGTGATGACAGGCAAGTAGTGTGTACAGGATGGATATGCTGGACAAAGGGATGATTCACTTCCAGAACAAGACGGAGGGAGATTTCATCACACTACTCAGAATGGTGTGCAATTTAAAACTTATGAACTGTTTATTTCCGGAATTTTTCATTCAATATTTTCAGACTGTGGTTGACCTCAGGAAACTTAAACCACAGAGAGACAAAACCTCAGATAAGAGGGGACTACTGTGCTTTCTGAAAGGATAATTACAATGTGGAATACGAAACCATATCCATGATCTTGTATCGTTACATTAAAATGCATTGCTTTACTTTGCACTTTGAATTGATTTTTATAAATGAATGATTGTGTAACATCATACACCGGTCATTTGGAAAATACTGGTGTACTGAGTTATGCAGATGATTCACATGCTGAGATGTGTCATTATATAATATCAAAGTCACATTCATTAGTATCACTTCCAATCTTGTCAGAAAAGCGTTTAAGTATTGGAACGCTATAAACTTCATATTGACAGATACAAGTGTTCCAAAATTCTAAGTTTTGCTGGAAAGCTCACATTTTATCATTGACAGCAAATGCTGTCAGCTGTTTTCCTTGAAGTGACAGGCTCACTTCATTTTTGAGAAAATGTATGCAGTTTAAATGACCATAATTTGTCTGTCGTTTGTTCTTTCAAGTAAAAATGATGTTTCATGAAAATAAAAGTGTCCAGTCTAGCTTGTCCCTCAAACTATTGCACAAGTGCTTTTATTTAAGACAACCATAGTACTTTGGTGTATAGCTGAAGTGCTTTATGCATATTTCCCAATTAGTCACACAGTATAATAAAAAAGGTGTGTACTCAAAGGTACAGCAATTTAATAAAATGAATACTTGTTATGGTTTCCTGAAGGACATTCTTAAGCGAAACTGACCTTTTTGGTTGTTGTTTACTGTGAGTTCCTGGCAGTGAGGAATACACTGACTGCTAATTCAGTTCAAAACCACTGCCTTGATCTGCACTAAGTGCCAGTAGCCTTACTTTCCTTGCTTTTGCACCATCAGTGTTAATGTCAACACAATGCAAAAGGCAAATGATATCTTAGTATTACTATGAAAATAGTTATCACCTCACAGGCCGCCTGAAAGGGCCTCAGAGCCCCGAGGGGTCTTGTAGACCACACTTTGAGAATCTCTGCAATAGGATAAAGATAAGGTAGCAACCTAGGGTGTCTGTCCTGAAGTTCTCTTTGGGTAGCTTGCCCTTGAGGACTCACATTGGACTCTCCGTGGAGGATTGGGCAACACCCTTCTGCTTTCAGCCATCCCTTGTGGTGGCTGCACATGACTCTTCTCAACCATTATGCAAAATGGGTTGTTCCACATGCTGTTTGGAGGAACAGAGCACTCTGCATCCATGACACCCCTCTCTCTTGGGTGGACTTTGCGGTGAGATAAGGCAAGCAGGACTGTGGCCTAACTGGCCTCTGACATTCCCTTTCTATTGTAATGCCCTTAATCCCTCCTGGCCATCTGGAAAAACTGAAATCCTTTTAAAACACTCCCAACTGAGTACTTTTTAGAAATCCATGTTAAGGCTGGATCACATAAGATTTTACCTCCTAATGTTATAAGTAGAAAAAAAACCTGAAGTACAAAGAAGGGCTGAGATCACACAGCCAGAGAGCATCAGAACCACCATCAAAGCTTAGATCTCCTGCGTCCCTTATACCCTCCTCTGG